GAAAATAAGCTGTGACTACACACACCCACCTAGAATAGATCCCTCTGATATAAAGGACAGATTCTGGTTCACTAAAGTGAAAGATGGTGAACCTGTGGATCTGAGAACAGACTCTGAGTATTCAAGCCGTGTGAAGCACACATGTTATAGTATTTTGAAGAGATGTTATCTGACCATCACAGACGTGAGAGAGAGCGACTCAGCTGAGTACAAATTCAGATTCATGACAAACGAACCAGGAGAGAAATATACTGGTTCACCTGGAGTCACTTTGTCTGTCACAGGTAACATTTTAATTCACATATTAATCATCTACAAATGTTCAACATCTAGAAAACTAGAGTATAAATGTCTTCTGTGAATGTTGACACTTTAATAAATAATATTCACAGATTCAGGTCTCCAGGTGCAGGTGAGAAGATCAGATTCTACCTGGTTGGAGCTGACGTGTCACAGCAGCTGTGTTCTGTCTGATCGTGCTGAATACTACTGGTACAAGAATAAAGAGTACTTCATGACAGGATCTTCTCTTCGAGTCTCCTCTGGTTCTACAGACAAATATTCCTGTTATTTAAGAGGATCTTGGAATCAACGTTCTCCTGCAGTGTGTAAGTTCACTCCACTGTGTCGGCCTGTGGAGCTTCAACAACATCTTTAAAAAGATGAAGCACAACGTTCCTCAGGAGGTGGAGCCGTGGTCCACTGACCAGAGGGTTGCTGGTTCAATCCCCGGCCCCTGCAGTCTACGTGTAGAAGAGTCACTCACACACTGACACAACAATATGATTCTAATCACAGCTGTAAACACACTGGAGTCTAAATGTTAAAGGAGACACAGATCTTTATTTATGTCATTCTCTTATTAATAGAAACACAAATATAAACCATCAGCAGACAGAATAATGTGATTTTCATAAAGACTCAAGTGAATTATTCCAGAACATAAGTAGAAGTGACGTGTCAGCTGGTGGAGGAAACAATCAATAACTCCTACAACAACTAGAAGTGAGAGGACAGACTCAGCTAAGGACACAAGCAGCATCTAAAGAGAAGAATGTGTGGAGATATGAACATTACAAAGGATTAAAGGCTGCTTATTGTCACTTTACACCAGCAGGAGTCTCACCTGTGACAGCTGCTGTGATGAATACTAGAGATAGTCTGAGAGAAAGACACACAAGTATTCATTCAAATGATCAACTATCTACGCTAACATCTTCTAACCTCTCAGTATGTTTATTCACGTCTCCTCCAGATGGTCCACAGCGTCCCTCTGTGTCAGTGAGTCCCTCTGCTGAGATGCTGGAGGGCGGTTCAGTGACTCTGACCTGTAGCACTGATGCTAACCCAGCAGCTAACTACACCTGGTACAAGGCGCATCGAATTTCAGACCCTCATCTTCTCAGTAAAGAACCTCATCTGGTCTTCAGCTCCATCCAGTCCTCTGACTCTGGAAATTATTCCTGTACAGCTGAGAACCAGCTGGGGAGGAAGACGTCTGACTTCATCTCTATCGACGTGAAATGTGAGTGAAACAACCTTTTTAAAAGCAACATAATCACTACTGAGGTAGTGTTTTGTTATGAACTTCTATTTATTGAACTCTAACTTGTAACAATATGTTGACACGTCTCCTCCAGATGGTCCACAGCGTCCCTCTGTGTCAGTGAGTCCCTCTGCTGAGATGCTGGAGGGCGGTTCAGTGACTCTGACCTGTAGCACTGATGCTAACCCAGCAGCTAACTTCACCTGGTACAAGGAGGATGGAACTTCAGACCCTCATCTTCTCAGTAAAGAACCTCAGCTGGTCTTCAGCTCCATCCAGTCCTCTGACTCTGGAAGGTATTCCTGTACAGCTGAGAACCAATTGGGGAGGAAGACGTCTGACTTCATCTTGATCCCTGTGAAATGTGAGTGAAACAACCTTTTTAAAAGCAACATAATCACTACTGTCAAGTTCTCCAGGTGTTAATTATATCCATCTCGGCCCAAACTTGAAAATGGCTTGTTTAACCCAAATATCACATGGGGACAACTCGGATCTGTTTTGGTCTTTTATTTTCAATCGGAATGGTTGTGGGAACCGGAATAGCTTGATAACCTTAAAACAAAAATAGTAGACTAAATTCTACATCAAAGACTTTCCAAAATAATAATTCATCATTAAACACCATTCTTTACCACATTAAGTAAATACACAAGCAAATCCAATTCAAGAAGTATTTCCATTACAATTTAAACTTCTACTTTTCCTTTTACGGGTAAAAGATCAAAATCAACAGAAAATGGCAAACAAACTATTGCTTCAAACAATATTTGAAATGAATAAAATCCATAGCAGTTGCGTCTGTGGTCGAACATGAGCGGCTGAGAGAGGGCGGCTAAGCTAATACCTAAACATTTTATACTCTTGCCTGATGAGGGACGCGATGGTGACTCGGTCCCTCCAGAAATATGGGTTGTATTTTAGGGTTCCACTTCTCTTTAGTTCTCTGCCCCCTTCAGGGTTGGAGTTTACCGATGCTCCTTGTTTAAAATGCATGTGCAAACTGGTTTTAAACGCAATAACTACTAAGGTAGTGTTTTGTTATTACATCACATTACATTACATGTCATTTAGCTGACGCTTTTATCCAAAGCGACTTACAATAAGTGCATTTCAACCATAGGGTACAAACTCAGGAGAACAAGAAACAAGAAAGTGCAATTTCCTCAAATAAGCCAATTTACAATTTGCTGTAGATGAGTGGCGTAATAAGTCCAATGTAAGTGCTACAGTTAGTGTGTTAGTGGAGGTAGAGTCTGAAGAGGTGTGTCTTTAGTCTGAAGACCATTTAGGAGCAGGACAGCAAAGAGTGGTGATCTAGTCGAGTATTTTGCTCCCAGTGAGGAGGAACAAGCAGTTTATCACATGCAGAGCGGAGAGTGCGGGTTGGGATGTAGGGTTTGACCATGCCCTGGATGTTAGCTGGACCCGATCCATTTACAGCATGGTACGTGAGCACCAATGTTTAGAACTGGATGCGGGCAGCCACCGGTACCAGTGAAGAGAGCGGAGGAGTGGAGTAGTGTGGGAGAACTTATGAAGGTTGAAGACCAGGCGAGCTGCTGCATTCTGGATGAGCTGCAGAGGTGGAATGGTGGGTAGCAGGAGACCTGCAGGGAGGGAGTAGTCCTGGCGGGAGATGACAAGAGCCTGAATCAGTACCTGGGCAGCCTTCTGAGTGAGAAGGGGACGTGTTCTCGTGATGTTGTAGAGCGTGTATCTACAGGATCGCGTTGTCGCGGTGATGTTGGGAGTCAGGGAGAGTCGGCTGTCAAGTGTGACGCCGAGGTTCCTAGCGGTCAAAGTGGGCATTAGTACGGAGTTGCCAAAGTTGACCGTCAGGTCCTGGGTCGGGGAGTCTTTTCCCGGAAAGAGAAGTAGTTCAGTCTTGTCGGGGTTTCAGATGGTGGGCGGACATCCACTGAGAGATGTCAGTTAGACAGGCAGAGATCCGTGCCGCCACCTGGGTGTCCGAGGGAGGGAAGGAGAGAATGCGTTGGGTGTCATCGGCATAGCTGTGGTAGGAGAAGCCATGCGAGCGAATGACAGCGCCGAGAGAGTTGGTGTAGAGCAAGAAGAGGAGGGGACCCAGGACGGAACCGTGAGGAACTCCAGTAGTAAGAGGACAAGGTTCCGACACAGATCCTCTCCAGGTTACCCGGTAGGTACGGCCGTTGAGGTAGGACGAGAGAAGGGAGAGAGCAGAGCCTGAGACACCAAGTTCATGAAGGGAGGAAATAAGGATCTGGTGGTTGACTGTGTCTAATGCAGCAGAGAGGTCCAGAAGGATGAGGACAGAGGAGAGAGAGGCGCTCTGGCAGTGTGGAGTTGCTCTGAGACAGCAAGCAGAGCAGTCTCTGTGGAATGGCCTTGAATCCTGACTTGTGGAGGTGAAGGGGGTTGTTATGGTGGAGATAGGAGGAGAGTTCGTTAAAGATACACGTTCAAGTGTTTGGATAAAAAGAGGAAGAAGAGAGACCCGGTCCTGTAGTTGCTCTCTTCAGAAGGGATTGATGATGGGTTTCATGCAGGAGTGGGATTACTCTTGCCTCCCTCAGAAAATTGGGAAAACAGCCAGATGACAGAGCATTGTTGTATGAGACAGGTGCGGAAAGAGAGGTCAGGTGCGTCGATTGTAGAAGCTCAGACGGAATGGGGTCAAGAGGACATGTGGTCGTACGGGCAGAGGTTAATAGGATAAGAATCTGGTTGGGAGACAACGGCGTCAAGGAGGAAAGTGAGGGTGATAGAGGTGAAGTCAATGGGACGCGAGAAGTAGGAGATGCGTCTGAGAAAGAGGAGTGTATGTCATGAACTTCTATTTATTTAACTCTAACTTGTAATAATTTGTTGACACGTCTCCTCCAGATCTTCCACAGCGTCCCTCTGTGTCAGTGAGTCCCTCTGCTGAGATACTGGAGGGCGATTCAGTGACTCTGACCTGTAGCACTGATGCTAACCCAGCAGCTAACTACACCTGGTACAAGGGGGATGGAACTTCAGATCCTCATCTTCTCAGTGAAGAACCTCAGCTGGTCTTCAGCTCCATCCAGTCTTCTGACTCTGGAAGGTATTCCTGTACAGCTGAGAACCAGCTGGGGAGGAAGACGTCTGACTTCATCTCTATCGATGTGAAATGTGAGTGAAACAACCTTTTTAAAAGCAACATAATCACTACTGAGGTAGCGTTTTGTTATGAACTTCTATTTATTGAACTCTAACTTGTAACAATATGTTGACACGTCTCCTCCAGATGGTCCACAGCGTCCCTCTGTGTCAGTGAGTCCCTCTGCTGAGATGCTGGAGGGCGATTCAATGAATCTGACCTGTAGCACTGATGCTAACCCAGCAGCTAACTACACCTGGTACAAGGAGCATGAAGACTCACCACGAGCATCAGGACAGATCTTCACCATCACTGACTTCACAGCTGAACACAGTGGGAATTATTACTGTGAAGCCCAGAACGAGATGGGACGTAGTAACTCCACCTTTCGTCTGATTACTTCTTCAGGTAAATCACACTCATTCTTCTGTTCTCTCACACATTATATCAACATTCCAGCTAAAGAAGTGACTCACAGAAAACGCAGCCTTTAGCTCCTGTCCTCCACTCAGTGAAGCAGGAGAGCATTGTGGACTAGAAGGTGAACCTGAGCAGATACACTATGACCCCACTGAGAATCAAACCCTGGACCCTTCATCACTTTAAAGCTTCACCAGCTGAGCGTCCTGCAGACATCACGTGGTCTGATGCTGCGTTGTCTCATCAAATGATGAAGTCAGAAGTGGAAGGAACAAGAAGAGTCACGTTAGAAAAGCTGAAGATGTTGATACCTGAACAGAGTCTGTAGCTGTAAGAATGCAGGAGCAGCTCAGTAAGAGAAACGAGTCTGGAACAAACACAATGCTGTTAGCAACACAACAGTTAGCTAGCATGCTAACTAGTCAGCTTTGAGTATTAGAAGCAGTATATTGGGGGTTTGGATTGTGTCTCCAAATCATCTCCTCACGGAGTGTGTTTAGTTTCTGTAGCAGTAAACAATCTACAACAGTTGCCATGACAACAGGACACAATAAAATTCAGCTACGTTGATTTGAAGACTTACTCGTCACATATAATTTGAGTTAAAGTTCATCATCTGCATAGAGCAGATCTTAAGGTCGCAGATATTCTGTTTCACCGAGTTAAACATCTTATTTCCATCCTGTTGGTCCTTAATTCATCCTCCACCCTCCATATTTAGTGGTTTATATATTTGTTGTTTGTTTTCGTTCCCGTGTAGGAAAAGGAGCCTCCCCATGGCCAGTAACAACAGCTGTTTTTGCGTCCACATCTGCCATTTTCCTGGTAATCATCATGATCCTCACTGTCCTCTTGATCAGGTGAGCGGTTCAACTTCACTGATAAAATGTAGATATGGATGTGTCAGCAGCCGAGGTTTCTTAAAAACTAAAAGTGTGTTGCCAACAACGCCACCAGGTAAAAGCGAAGAGCCCTAGGAACTCAAAATAATTAAAAACAAGGTCTGTTTGTTTGGGGGAGAGCAGTGAAACAATGACCCAAGAGGAGACAGGGGCAGAAATACTAATAAAAGAATATTTATTTTAATACAATGATTAAAATATATAAAGGAAGCATAGAATAGTCCGTCCAAACTCACCACCACAGTAGAGCGAAGTCCT